GATACTTGTAGGCGCCAGCAATAGCCTTGCATCCTCCCTAGAGATTTAAGGTGCTGGTGCTCTACTGTAATCCCAGCTACTGGGGGTGCTGAGGCAGGAGGATTGCAAATCGCAAATTCGAAGCAAGGCTGGGCAATTTAGCGAGACTTTGTATCAAAATAAAATAAATAAAGGCTGGGAATGTAACTCAGTGGTAGAGTGCCTCTGAGCTCAAGCCTCAGCAATCAGGAAAGGAGGAGAGGGAGAGATAATAATATAAAGTATTGGACCAGGATGCCTAGAAGGCGGACTAATATCCAATTCAGGCAAAACCTTTAATACTCTATGCCCAATGCTATAAATGTCCAGCTCACTCAGATCCTCAACATTGCTGGGACATGGTGGCGCACGCCTGTAATCCCAGTGAAGCAGGAGGATTGAGAGTTCAAAGCCAGCCTCAGCAATTTAGTGAGGCACTAAGCAACTCAGTTGAGACCCTGTCTCTACATAAAATACAAAATAGGGCTGGAGATGTGGCTCAGTGGTCGAGTGCCCCTGTGTTCAATCCCTGGTACCAAATCATCATCATTATCATCATCATCATCATTACCCTCATCACTATTTCATAAATAAAACCTTGAATATGAATGCTTCTCTTCCCCATCCCACTTGGATTCCCCACCATCTCCTACACACCGTGAGGTCTAGGCATGGTTGTAGAGTGTTACAGACATTAACTCAAATCCATAAGACAGACCCATTTTGAAGAAGAGGAAATGGTGGCTCTTCAGTTTTGGACACTTTCTTTTTTTTTTTTTTTTTAAAGAGAGAGTGAGAGAGAGAGGGGGACAGAGAGAGAGAATTTTAACATTTATTTATTTTTTCTTAGTTCTCGGCGGACACAACATCTTTGTTGGTATGTGGTGCTGAGGGTCGAACCCGGGCCGCACGCACGCCAGGCGAGTGCGCTACCGCTTGAGCCACATCCCCAGCCCAGTTTTGGACACTTTCCAAGATCACCCAAGATTGAAATTTAGATTTTGGTCTAAATTCTTAGCCTATATTAGGCTGTTTCCCAATTAACTAATTGAGAGTCTAAATGTCATGAATGGAGGCTGAATATATGCAAAATACATTCCTGAATTTAAGATGCAGCACACATATGTGAACTACTTCTACTACTTCTACCTTAAGTTCTTGTATCCATGCTATTAATAGTATTGGTTCTGCCACATCCAAAATACATCCTGTACCCTCCATCACTAGTACCCTACTATAAGTCACTTGCTTACTGAAACAGCGGGTCTCATGCTTGAATCTCACCTTCTTTAATTCACACAAGTTGTTTTTTTTTTAAAGTCAGAGGGAGAGGGAGAGGGAGAGGGAGAGGGAGAGAGAGAGAGAGAGAGAGAGAGAGAGAGAGAATTTTAATATTTATTTATTTAATTTTTTGTTTGTTTGTTTTCAGAGGACACAACATCTTTCTTTGTATGTGGTGCTGAGGATCAAACCCGGGCGGCCCGCATGCCAGGCGAGTGCACTACTGCTTGAGCCACATCCCCAGCCCACACAACTTGTTTTTTTAAATATTTTGTTACTGGGGATTGAACCCAGAGGTGCTTTACCACTGAGCTACATCTCCAGTCCCTTATGTTATTAATTTGAGGCAGAGTCTCTTTAATATGCTTCAGCACATCCCCACCCCAACCCTGTCTCTGGGATTACAGGTGTGTGACACCATGCCTGGCCACTGGTAATATTTTCAAATCATAAACCAGATCATTTTCATTCTCTTGCTTTAAACCCCTAATGACTTCTCTTTGCCATCAAAACTCTCCACAACGTCCTGAATGACACGTGGTTCTAATTTTCTCTCCAACTTCCTCCTGCATCACCCTCTTCCTCTTTTGCTGTTTCCATGTGCCACGTTTTTCTCCTTTTTTTTGTAGGGGGTGGGGCAGTCCTGGGGTTGAACTCAGGGGCACTCAACCACTGACCCACATCCGCAGCGCTATTTTTTGTTTTTTGTTTTTTAGAGACAGGGTCTTACTGAGTTGCTTAGTGCCTCACTTTCTTTTTTAAAATATTTATTTAGTTCTTTAGTTGTAGTTGGACACAATACTTTTATTTTATTTATTTATTTTAATGTGGTGCTAAGAATTGAACCCAGGTCCTCGAATGTGTTAGGCAAACACTGTGTCACTGAGCCACAACCCCAGCCCAGTGCCTCACTTTTGCTGAGGGGGCTTTGAACTTGTGATCCTCCTGCCTCAGCCTCTCCAGCTGCTGGGATTACAGGCATGTACCACCAAGCCCAGTTAATAGTGGTATTTTATATTTGTCATCTTCTCAGGGGTCTTCTAAATTAGCTGTTCCCTCCCCATACTCTGAATCCCTTCACCCATTTTGCAATCCTTTATAGCACTGTTTTGTCTAAAATTACCTTGTTCATTTGTTTCCTTGTCTATCTCCTACCACTAGAATGTAACCACCATTAGGGCAGGGACTTATTCTCATTGTCTACTATATTTCTAGAACCAAGAATAGAGTCTAGAATACAGTAGGTGCTCAATGACCAAGAAGAAAATGAGGTTTAAAGTTTTCTTGGTAGTAAGATTTTAAAGAATACCACAGGCTGCTTTTTGAGGGCAGTTAAATAATGATGGCTTAAACCAAAGCAGGCAGAAAAAAATGAAAGGATTTGAGAATTTTCTGAGAACTAATTGTATGGAGTAGGTTTGAGATAGGGAGGAATCCAGAATAAGTCTGAGATAAGCCTTGGCTGGGTGGGTGGTGGCACCGTGTTCTATAGTGGTAACCACAGTAGGAGGAATGTATAGGTTTGGGTGGTTGAATGGAAGGATTAAGGGTTCCACTTAGTCTGGAGGTACAGTGCTTGCCTAGCATGTGTGAGGCCCTGAGCTGTTAGCATAGTTGAAATGACTGTTACTTAGGAACTCGGTGGAGACATATTAAAAACAGGATGCTAAGCAACAGAGGCTGCTCCAAACAGTGGTGGTTCCTTCTGCTCTAGAGCTCCTGGGCCTGGGTCTCAGACTGCAGCCAAGTCACCCTCCTTGGCTAGTCTGAGTCATCACTCTACACACGGATCTCATTTCCTCCTCTTTCCAGAACCTTCTCTGTGTCACTGACCTTCCCTCTGGGATCTTTGACCTCTCACTCTACTGAGTCCCAATACCAACAAAAACATGCCTATGTCTCCCATTCTGTACCAATAAATCTCTTCAACGTACCTCCTCTGTCCCTTGCCATTGTGCAATTTTATCCCACAATCCCTTGAAAGACCTGTCCTATACCCACACCTCCACCACTGTTCCCTTCCATTCCGTCTCCCTCCTCAATGGAAACTCCTGTGGTCAAGTTCACACACCTTCTCTGATGTCAGGTCAGGGTGTTTCTCTTAGGGCCTCCTGGCATAGCTAACGATACCACTCTTCTTGAAACACTGTCCTTTCTTGGGTCCCTCTTCTCCTTCCTCTCTGGTCAATCCTCTGTGGTATTCTGAGAGCCAGACCCTCTTTTCCTGTTACTTTTTATTTTTTAGCGATGGCTTTCATTCCTAGTGCTGTAAACACCATTTAAGTGCCCCCTAGTTCATGCCTCTTACCATCTGAGCTCTACAGGCATGTGTCCATTGACTACATGACAACTTCACAGGCCAAAGGGAACACTTTATTCCCTTACCCCACATCTATTTTTCTAGTAGTTTTTCCCATTTTAGTACATAGCACTACCAACCACTCAGGATGACTTCCCCCCCCCCATCACTCAGGGTTCAATCCCTCAGTGTATCCCTTGAATTCTCCAAAATCTATTTCAAGTATTTCCTCTTCTTTCTATCCCTACAGCCCCCCATCAAATCAAGGTCACCGTCATCCCAATAGATCTCACTGAGGCTCCCTTCCTTGGTTCCCCCTTACCCTACCCAGCAACTTCTCTACCCACCGTTTTAAAAACATACAGGTAGATTAATTCCCCTGCATTAGGGATTTTTAGATTGTGTTTTATCCCTATCACCCTCTTCCCTCGCCTTTCCCACAAGTTCAAGGTCAGCCTCAGCAACGTGGGGAGACCCTGTCTCTAAATAAAAAGTAAAAAAGTCTAGGAATGTGGCTCAGTGGTTCATTGCCTCTGGGTTCAGTCCCCAGTTTCAGTAAATAAATACTTAGGGAAGGGTCAGGGTGGGAGTTATTCGTTCAAGCGATTGGCTGCGTGCCCATCCTGCCCCTGAATCATGGGCACAACAGTGAACTCAGGTAGGCGCCGGTCCCGCCCTCTCGGGGCTGAGGTCCCAAAGTGATCTAGAGGGAAGGACAGGGACGTTTCCCGCATTGACGGGGGCCAGGGTCAGCTAGTCTGCCACCCGCCGCCACCAGCGCCTTGGGCGGCTCTCAGTGGGTGGACTCTTCAAGACGGGATGGCGGGGGAGGGGC